GCTATTAATATCCCTCCCCAAAGAAATCAAACACACTGGGCATTAGAAGAATTCAAGAGAATCAATCCACAAAAACCCAAGGACAAAATAAATCCCAGCAGCATAGTTTAGTTTCTTAGGTCAACTCCAAATATATTCTTTAACCTAAAGATCAGACAGTTTGAACCTTCAGGGTGATCATTGATTAATGAACCTACCAGAGGGACTGAAACACTGTCAAGCAAAGAGGAAGAAGAGTAGGAGGAAGAAGGAGGAAAAAAATAGAAGAAAAGGTAAAAGGATTAAATGCAGAAAGGGGAAGTGTTACATTGTATACTTTTTATTCCATAGGACATTCTAAAGCTAGGCTTTTATCTTTTTAAAAAGTTACTCTAATTATAAGGAGTAGTAAATTCTTCCCTTTAAAGATATAATAGCAGTAAGCCATTAGAATTTAAAATAGCTTATACCTATGCAAGTATATCTTTAGATCACTTGGCGAAATTTGCTAGAATATTTTACTTTATCCTAAACAATTAAATAAGCACATAGATTTCGGGGTGAGAAACTGATGTCAAAGTCAAGATATCTTCCACAGCATATTGCACAAAATGTGATTAGCTGAGGAAGACACTACACTAAGAAGGAGCGGAGCAGTTGCAGAGAGAAGTTTCGGTCAGAAGCTTGATTTTTTTTTTTATTCAGAAAAGGACGAGGTGTCATATTCTAGCACACATAGAAGCACAGCACAGATGTTTAAGTGCACAACACGTAAACCTAATGAAAATTTCTCTTTAAAATAACTGTTCGTATACTCATGACGTATTTAGAGTGAAAAATCAAATGAATACATGCCATGTGGGGTTCTACTCTCCTAAATATAACTTTGAACCTCTAGTGAGCTGGAAGCTCATGAATAAATGAAGAGCAGGCTGAGTATCTCCACAGAAGCCTTAGATGAATGCAGCTAACCAGAATTCTCTAGCAAGGAGGCAAATCATAGGGGGCAACTAAAATTTCTGCTAGCTCCTTTCTACCTCCTCTCTATCATGAAAAACAAAATGGATTTATTTTTAGATAAAAGACGTAAGAAAAACAAAGGCAACATTTTGCTGTAGTTTACATTTTACTTAATGATAACTTAGTGGTACCACTTTGTCAGATCATGTTGATAGAGATTTAAACTGAATGTCACAATGTCTGTTTAAGATGAAAAAAGAAAGAAAGGAATGGGATCATATGCAATTGCTGTGAATGATAATCAAAGAAAAAAATGAAATATGACTCCAAATAAACAACCAGACCTAGTTTTTTTTTTTTCTTTTTCAGCCATCCCTTCTGCCATCCAGCATTTCTTTACTGGTATAAACATAGTCAAATTCTACCAACATAGTTATTTCCTTTTGTAGTTGAGATGTATTTAAATATCATTTTTAAAAGAAAGAAACAACACAGGTGCCTTTTAGAAATATATAGTTCTTGTAAGGAGATGACTTGGATCCCTACGATGTGATTTTTAGCATGCTCTGCATCTGTCACATCACTGTTAGGGTTCTACCTGATATATTTCTTTATTTTAAAAACTCAACCAGTGGATGTACTAGCCCAGGATTAATGTACCTAGAAATAATAATAGTGATATCATAAAGATGCACCAAATTTAATAAATATCAGATTTATGGTGAATATCAACAAATAACATTTTTCTGTTTTATACATTTTTTCTAAATGTATTTGTGTATTATTTCTTTCTCCTTTGACAAATGTAGAAGCTAGTCTAATTTCCATACAAATTCAGTGGTATATTTAAGAGACTGTCATTACAATACCATTTACTTAATTTCTTGGCTTAAAAAAAAAAGAAAAAGGTGGAGGAAGAATGAAGGAATGAAGAAAAGGTATTAAAAATCTGTAAATACTTGCTAAAATAATTGTGCTATGTGATAATATACAAACACATTCAATGTATTATGCACTCAGATTAAAGCGTTCTCTATTTGGTTATTCCGTGGGACTCAGAAGATAATGGGTGAAAAACCAGCTGCATTTAGTATGTCTCTTCAGTCTACAAATAGAAATATCTGTACAAATGGAACACAAACTCCTCTGAGAGACTTAGGAAGTCAGACCAATTACCAAAAGTTAAAAATATGACATGAAATTGTCATATCCTACATATTAACATTTGGAATGAATGTATTTTACGTCCAAAATATGTCCTCTGAACCAGTGTAGCTTTCTACAGCAAGTGTGAGTGTGTGTGTGTGTGTGTGTGTGTGTGTGTGTGCATGTGTGAGTATGTGTGTGTGAAGAACAGTCTTTTGATGTATTTTAGGGGGCACACTGCTATGTATTAAACAGTTGCCTAGTGCTTCACTGAATAATCTTACTTGCTCATCTGAGAAACAATTTCTAAAAGAATTATTCATTGTTCCTATATATGAATAAATTTTAGAAATCATTCACCACACTTGGTGAAAATGATTTTCAAAGTCTATACAGGGAGGAGAGACCACTAAACTTTCTCCTGCCTACATGTAAGAGCATGCCAGCATTCAACTCTAAGGCCTTTATTTAATCCCATTTAAATAATTCAGACAACAGTTGATTACTCCACTGCAAGAATTGTTGAGCTCTGCAAAATCTTAGTAACACAATATTTCCTCCATAAGAGAGGCAGTCTCAAGTAGTAGGCATCTCACTAAAATACACTTCTCGAGACCATATCATGCAACCTAGTTTTACATTTCTATATATAAACACTGGCAAACACCAATGTGCTTTACTGCCCAGCAATTCTGCATGCTTGCTTTCATTATCACACCATCTAGTACTACAGCTTAATTTGGTCAGTTTACAATCCCTCATCCATCTATTTTCTAGATTCAAAACCTTTTTGAATCCTAACAAGTGAGATGGTTAGTTATGATACTCAATATTCCAAAAGTGCACATAAACAAAAATTTAAGCTTAAAAGAATTTCACATTCACTTCTATTCCTTTAGTAAATAATTGTTTTATGTCTTTTAACAGCCAAGATTCAGCATCTACGGCCTCTGTTTACTTGCAAGCATCAGCCATTACAAAAGAGCTTGGCTCACTTGACTAAATTACAACCTGAGTAACAGCAACATGAAGCAGACAGGAAAAACAAAAACAAACGAGAGAGAGAGAGAGAGAGAGAGAGAGAGAGAGAGAGAGATCTGGATCAATTAAATTTATCCCTAAAGTTGACATATGTAACACTTTGCTCTGATGTATTTGACTATCCATACATATCTGAGCCTGTGTTTATAATCACCACGTAACAGAATAAGTGAAAAACAAGCAACCAGATTACAAGCATTAAATAAGCTCTATTTAAAACAAAAAAATCAGCAACCCTTGAGTAAAGAACCCACTGGCTCTGGAGCTATGGAACATTCTGAACCATTTCTACCCATCGTCTTCTCTCACTTCAAGCACAGGCATAACAGGTCTCTCTACTCTAACAAGCAAGTTCTGTCTTCTATCGCCATCATGAAACATCCTGAAGTAGAAAAATCTACAGACTGCCTTCAGTATCAGCAATAAGCAGCACATTTGACGATCGCCCATACCATTTGGAAACCAGTGCTCACATGACGACTGGCCTGACACCCCATCCATCAGCAGGGTGCCCACAGCAGAGTGCACCATCTTCCTTGCACCATCTCCAGAGTGGAGGCCCAGTTGGGGAACAGCCTTCTCTTCCAATAGCAATTAGATCTTTAAGATCAGGCCTTAGCAATTTGACCTAAAGCCATCCTTTCTTGCAACAAAGTCTTCTTCAGAGGAAGAGACGGGGGAACAAGCAAATGAGAACTGCAAGTCTCTGTGGCCTGATTAAAAATTTTGTTGTGTCAAATAAACTTTGGCCACCGGAGGAAAGAACCCTATGGTTGCTCTGCCTTTAGAAAGATCTGTCCCAGGCTTCTCAATCTTCTTTTCACCTCTCCCACTCTCCCTCTCTCTCTCCTCTCTTGTTTCAAAGGGGCCTCTGGTCAGCGCTGATTAATAAGTGTTTTTTGTTGTGAAGTGTTGAATAATAGAGGATGGCCGGTGACCCAGTAAAGACTGAACCTTGCGCTGGTTTATTGTGGCAAGCTGAGAAAGGGACTTTAGGCCCAGGACCGCAAGCACTGACCCGCACACATCCCGCGGATCGCCTATTCATTCTCACAGCCCTCCAGTCGCCCAGGCTCCCATTGTTTGCCAAGTAACAATGGAGATTTCGCAAGGAACGCAAAGCTCTTTTCAAACCCCTCTCTGATGTTTTGCATTTAGGGAAACACCGACCTTCACTTTTTCTCTCGACATTTTATATCACCGCAGTTAAAGTGGATGATTTTCAGGGATAACTTGTGTTGAGTTTGGCGCTTGTTTGCGGAACACCAGCGTCTAGCGGAGACTAGACTAGTGCCCAAGAGATTTCCTTTTTGTTTTTTTCTTTTTCTTAATGCATTTAGAGAACGGAAGCTGCCTCTGGGGAGAAGGGGGAGGGGAAGGGAGAAGAAAGAATTTTCTTGGCACGGTTGCCGGGCGGGGGCTCCGCGGCCGAGGCCGAGGCCAGGCGCGGGCCCCTCATCGCGGACTGTGAAGTGACGGGTCCAACTCAGAAGCAGAAGGCACCGCCAAGTCGCTACCAGTTTTCCTTGCCTCGCTTTCCAGCTCGGTTCCCAGATCTGTGGCCAACTCCACTGCTCCCTTGGTCCCTCAGGTCCCGCAACCCCCGGCGGGGTGCTCTCCTGGGCGGCCACAACCTAGCGATCCTAGGGGCGTGGAGGGGGGGGGGGGCGACAGAAAGCTGACTCCCGGAGGCCAGGGCGGCTCCGCCTGAGACTTCCTTCTACTGTGCTCTCTCGCTGCTGGCCCAGGCAAGCCTTTGACTTTCTGTGGTGGGACAAGGGACTCGGCTGGGGGCAGCGGGGCTAGGCCAGGTATCATGGAGATTGGGCCAGGCCTGCAGCGGGGCCTCAGCTTCTCCACACGCCTGGCGTCAGATGTCCCCTGTCCGGGCAGTAGGCAGGCATCTCGGCCCAGGACTAGCCAAGGGGACCAGAGGTCTGAGAGGACCTGGCAACCTCCAGCATGGTGTCTTTGGCTTCTTCCAAAGGCTCCCGGCCTTCCTTCACGTGCAAGCGAGGCTGGACTGCTGGTCAGGCCGAGCACGGAGGCCGCAGGGGCTTAGGGAGCTAGCAATGGCCGGAGGCCCACACTGTGGACCCTCCTCTGGGAGCTTGCCCACCCTGGGGAGGCCTAGCGCGCAAGGTAGAGACCAAGCCTTGACTCCCCAAGAGGGGTGTCCGATGGGACTGTGCAAGGCGCCCCCCCCCAGGCCTGTCACGTCTGCTCGCACCCTGTGACCGCTCCTACTTTGCCGCACCTTGGCGCTTACACCTTTCCATTGAGCATAGCTAAAGCCTGGGCCTTGCGCGACCCCCGCGGCCTGGTGTGCACTAATACTGCTTTCTGGGTCGCTGCCAGGCGCTCAGGGCACCCCAAGGGTTCCTCGACCTAGCTGGGAGAGGGGAGTGGAGGAGGAAAAGGAGGAGGAGGAGGAGGAGGAGGAGGAGGAGGAGGAGGAGGAGGAAGAAGAAGAAGAAGAAGAAGAAGAAGAAGAAGAAGAAGAAGAAGAAGAAGAAGAAGAAGAAGGAGGTGGTTAGAAAATAGCCAAGGAGAGGACCGGCTGCAAACCTAGGGCAGCGCAGTGGGAGGAGGGCTCATTGTCCAGTCCCTTCAGTCCAATTGATATGCTAATCTCTTTTCTGAGGCGACACAAAGAACACCTTTGCACTTTTAAAAGACTTTTGTGCCCTGGCTACAGAAGTTTATTATCCACTAATTAGCAACAACTTCTGGCAATGAGTTGGGTTACGGTTTCATAAACTAGCTCTGGCTATGAGGTGTGCAGGGCAGTACGAGGTTCGCGTGCAGAGAAACCCCCAAATCGGGTACTAGAATACAATCATTCGCCCAGCTTGCTAGGCTGAACTAGGTGAGAGACCCGGACCAAGAATTAAGAGAGAGTGTTCAGAAAATACAGGTTCTTTTGGAAAAAATGATTTGGCTGGATCCGACTGTTTTCCATCCACTGGGCTACCCGGAGGCGAAGGCTGTCGTCGGCCTGTCCATCTTACTTGGGTGCGTGGGGTCTGAAAACCTTAAGTGAATGTTTCAGCGCTGGCCTCTGATTCTTGAATTTTTCTTGGAGTTCTCAGTTTAAGACCGAAGTTTCCAGGCAAGGCCCGTACCTAGGAAACCGCACTGGTAACCTGCTTGTGTACCCTCCCAAGGCCTCCCCCAGAACTCTGAAAAATAAGGCAAAGCTAGTATTTCGGGAGCCAGAGATGGAGAAAGGATGCTGGGTAAAGTACCCACCCTGGGTGGTCTAAAGTCGCCACCGAGCCAACCCTGATGGCTAACCAGACCTAAGCGCCTTGTCTTCCCCTCAGCGGGAAGCACTGCCTACCCCGTGACCTTGCCCCTTCACAGGCTATGCAGGTCCTTAAGGATCTTTAACAATCCCACGTCCCAGGTCAATAAAGAGACAATGGATAGAATGAACATCATCAGTGAAAAGATACAGAGTCGGTGGACGATGTACCTGGTACCTCCCCAAACAGTGTCCTTTGCTCCCATAAAAACATCAGCCTTGAGGCCTGCCTTCCAGTCCCGGCTCTGCCACAGAAACCGTATTTTATTTTAGGTAATTCGAGCCCCCAAAGCACTTTTTAACTATGTTACACAAACACACTATTCTTTTTTTTTCTTTTTTTTTAGAAATTTTCTCTCTTATTTTTTTTTTTTTTTTTTTTTTTTTTACTTTTCCAGACGACTTCGTAGAAAGATTTGTCAAATATTTTAAGCACATCAGGCTGTGCATCTTCCGGAGGTGGTAGTCGTAGCCCAGTTTTCTCTGCTCTATGCTCAAGGTGAAATGTGGCCTAACTCAAAAGCCCAGGATGACTTAAGGTATCTAAATGAGAATTCACAGTCAGGAAGAGGTGAGTGTTCTGGGTTTTTTTCCCATTAGGTGGAATTGGATGTGGTGGTTCTCTGCTATCCTAACTTCTCTGATGTTACCAGGCAATGCTTCTTAACTAGCGTTCTTAAAACTAGAAAATGGGGTAGGAGCTGACAGTAGACTTAACAGCAAATTGCTGAAAATACAAAGATGCTAGCTGTATCGAATTCTACAATTTTCCAGAATGCTCCTAAATATGTTCCTAGCAGTGGCCCTGTGTGGAGTGGGGGAGAATGAGTGTGTGAGGAAGAGGAGGTCTTGGCTTTACCACCCTCAGCCACCTTCATTGAAGAAGAACAATGGTTCGGCCTGGGTCCTTTCTGAAAAAGAAACTGCAGGAATGCAGAGTTGCTCTTTGTGCCCTGACCTACACCGAGAAGGGGGAACTAAACCCTCACCCCCACAGCACTGGGCAGTCTCCACCATACAAGGACCCCTCTGAGACTCTGCAAGCAAGATAGGCGCTTGCCCCCACCTCCCATATGGCCCACTCTGTGGCTGGAAGAAACCTGATTAAAACCCAGTAACCCCAGATTTCGCTCAGGGCAGAGCAAAAAAGAGCTGAAACCACTCGGACAAGCAAGGCCTGTGGGGTCCCCCCCACTCCAACCAGCCTAATGTCTAATAACAATACATTCTGATTCTATTTCTTATTAAGAATGTGTTTATTTATGCAGTCCTTCAGACTCTTCCCAGGCAGCTTAATTTCCTTCCAAGGAGAAGGTTTATGTTTAAAAAAAAAAATAAAAGAAAAGAAAAAATTTTAAAAAGGTTCTGATTTAGAGCAAAGAGGGATGTTATAAGTGTGACCTTGACATATGAATGGGGGAAGGGCATTTAGGTTTGGGTCCAAACCCTTGTCCTCTAAGAATGTGAAACATTCTAGGCCCTGGGTAAGAACACCAAGAAGAGAAAGGATTTATTTTCAAAGGTTACTATCAGAGGTTCACTCGCTGAAATTGGAAATTTGATATTTTTATATTTCGTGAAATTCATGATTTAATTATACTCCTAAAACAAATTAAGGGCAGGCCTTCTACACAAATTGGAGGCAGCTAAATGCTCTTTTGTGCCTGCAGCCCTCGGATTGTTAAAGAGGCTGCTGATGCATGAGAAGAAGTGACTGATTTAACTCATTGGGATGCAGGAAGCGACCTGCCCTCTTTTGAAAAAAAGTGAGAGAGAGAGAGAGAGAGAGAGAGAGAGAGAGAGAGAACATTAGCTATAGAAGAGCTAAAGGGTGAGTGACAGAGAAGGAGAGGAGAGGAGAGGAGAGGAGAGGAGAGGAGAGCAGAGGAGAGAAGAGAGGAGAGGAGAGAAGAGGAACACACAGAGGGAGGGAGACCAAACCCCCTCTTTGCAGCTTTGAAAGCTTCTGAATTTCAAGCAGAAAGTAGAAGGAGCCCCACACAGCAATATTCGTCTTTTCTTGGGCTGCGTGTGCAGAGCGTAGACAATGAAAATTTCCATCCCCCTCCCCCATGCTCGCTAGTCTACAAGATTTTTGTTTCTTTCCTTCTCAACGATGGAAGCTATGTAGAATCAAATATACAGATACGCGCATTCATTTTTTTAAAGCACAGCCTAACAAACCAAACGAGCTGCCTGCGGATTATCCAAACGCGCACCTGCTGTAAGTACCGTCTTTTCCTGGGCTTTTGAGCTCTGTGTCGCGCGGTGAACCGAGAGTGCTCCCTTTGTGAGCAGCGCTGCTGCCTGTGCCTGGATGTTTTTATTAATAGGGACTCCCCGGATTGTTTGTTTCTGCACCTGAGCAGCAGCATTTCACTAGGCTGGTGATAAGGTTTGGCTGGCATGCGGTGTCTCCGGAGCGGCGATCTCGGGACAGGGGAGGCGCGCAGACCAGGGCTTCCCGCGCACTGAACATCCATGAGAGCTGCCGCTCGCTCAGTAGGCAATATCCTGGCTGCAAGGTTGGTGTCTGGCGCTCCCAGTAAATGGGTCAGGGAGATTTCTGAGCTCAGGGCTACCAGGCTAGCTCAAGGAGCGATGAAATCAGATGGAGGGGCCTTGGATTGGGGAAGGACTTCCACCCTCCAGCAGCATGCGTGGCATGGAGTCCTCCACAGCCCACTGCTAGGATCCCTTGTCTGGGGAGACTTAGACTGGCTGTGCCCAGCGCCCTGCTAGCCCTGAGCCCTTTGGTGCGTCTTTTATCTAAACCTCAAAGCTTGGATCTTCTAGAGACCATGGCTAAGGGAGGATGCCTCTGTGTGTGTGTGTGTGTGTGTGTGTGTGTGTGTGTGTGTGTGCCTGACAATGCCCAGACAATATAAATTGCCATTCGAGAAAGATATTTTCTAGCCTCTTGAAAATGTGCAAGAATTTTGCGGCCCACGCTTTCTTTGTGTGGCGGGCAGCGCCAAGCGCTTTGTGCTTCGCAAGTAGAAAATGGCGAGTCCTATTGTGTTTAGGCCATTTTCTTCCGGTACAAGGATTTCTCAAGTTTTCAATACTTTGAGGGGTGGGAGCAAGGAGCAGCCCTTCCATACCCCGAGAAGCTCTAAGGGCCAAGGAAGGGTCCTTTGGCCTGGTGGATATGGACCTCGCTTAGAAACCAAGAGTCTGTTTCCTTGCTGTTCAAATAGATACTTGTATGGGAACAATTTGTGCTTGTCGGTCCGGATAAACTTGAAAGGGAAAAGGAAAAAGAAAAAAAAATAAAGCCCAACTATTTGGAGAGGAGCAGTGGGGTTTTAGTTTTCCTTTCTCCTTTCATATTCCGGAGGAACTCCAGGACAAGGTTATTGTTACTCTACTCTGTCAGTCTGTTTTAGAATCTAATACAGAGTGCTATTTGCTATTGGGACAGAGAAACTACTTAGCTACTACATCATCAGCCATCCTTGCTACCTTAGAAAGTATGGGTTTGCAGGAGAGATTCTTTTTAATTGGCTCAATGTAGATGTGGGATAACTATTTACACTGCCCACCTCTGTATGGACATATAATAAAGACAAGGAGACTTCCCAGACTAGCATTGTTCCTCTCTCTCTCTCTCTCTCTCTCTCTCACTCACTCTTCCTCTCTTTCTTCCTTTGTGTATAATTTTTATTAAATTTCTTGCTCTAGTTAAGCATATTCAAAAACAATGTTGATACAAAACTAAGAACGTTTGTTACTTTTCTTAGCTGAAGAGGGAGAGAGAGAAAGACGGCAGATTGACAAATATTATATCCTACGTATTACAGCCCTTTGGACCTATACATAGAGCAACCATTTGTTAGTTCAGAAATAATGAAATGTACCCCCTTACCCCCCCCCACACACACTTTTTCTGGTACTCTCTTTCGTGACAAATACAGAAGAAAAGAAAAGAAAAAAACTGGAATGAGGAAAACGTAAGGCCTATATACCTTTCTCCTCCTTTTATATAATCTTAAACTGTTAAGAAGCCAAGTTACTGCAGAAACATCTTTACTTTAAAATTTCCCAAAGCGCCCGTGCTTGTTCCTTTAGGTGAATCAAAACCATGGACAGCGAACTAATTATTTAACAAACAGACTCCAGCAAAATTGTGTGAGTGTGGAAGGCAAGTTTACCTTCCTCGTATCTGTTGGAGGCGAAACAATCATTATATTTAATAACAATTTGGATTAAAATTTGAATTTAAACTAAAATTAGATTTTGAATTTAAATCATAATCTATACACATTCTACCAAGTTTTAAATCTCTTCTACGTTCTTTTTGGGTTTTTTTGCCCTTTTTTAGAGGTATAACTTTTTTATCCCACTAAAGGTCATTTTTACCTTTTGCTACTCATACATAACAATTTTAAATGCACGGATTTTGTTATGGGCTTTTCCTTATAAGATTCAAAGTGAGTAAAAAGAAAAAGAAAATTTACTATTTTGCTTGGGATTAGCCGAATGACACTGTAGCAAATTAAATAGATTTTTTATCAGTGACTGGGTTTCTAAATGCACAGAATTGGAAAAATTAAATGCCACTTTGATGGACAGGGCTAATATGAATGGAGATGCGATGCAACTACCGCTTGCTCCTGGATAGGTTAGGTAGCCCATCACTAAATCACAATAGTTAGACAAACATTTATTTTTTCCTCAAGAAAGTAACAGACTTTCTCATGCATATTGATCCAGTGTAGGGCACAGGACTGGTTTTCTTTGGCTCTGTGTCAAACAACCATGTTGTCTTGTGCATGGGTTTCATTCATTACCTTAACCTTTTTAGAAATGAACTTCATCAAAATTATTTTGCTTCAGATTATATAATGCACTGAAAACTGCTCATTTAAATTTCTACCTTCAACCCTCTGACATCTGACTTATTTTGTAACGGGTCTTCTTTGTGATCAGCAAAGGCCTGAAAGATCATATAGATCATAAATAATACACAAGTCACAAAATAACAACAATTTATATTTAAATTAAAATAAAATTAAAGTGATGCTGACATTTGCGAGAAAATAAATTATTGATCTTAGCCATCACTCTTGAGCATAGAATGAAACTGCAGTTCCTTGAAATGTCCTCATTTCTTAGCATAGATGATGGATATATTTTAGAAACCCGTATTTAAAAACAAACAAATAAAGCACCATCTTCAAAGCATTTGAAGCAAATATTCAACGGCATTTGATGGTATCCTGATGGGCTCCATGATGGGATTTTGTGGTTCTTGTAACTGTGGTCCAGGGGAAAGCAGAGATAGTTCAGAAAGGAGTCATTGTTTAGGACAGCACTCCATCGGGGCTGTATTTATAAGAGTAAGCGTAAATTTAGACCTTGGCCTGCGGAAAGGACTATCGTGGGATTGAGAAGGTACAGATAAGCCTTGACCACAGAATTAAGAGGTGGTCCCTCATCTGAAGCATAGCTGTGTCCAGCCTGAGGTGCTTATTGGATGCCCGATCCTAGACGAGGGATGTGAACGTATTTTAAGGAAAGGAAACTAAGTTTGCTGATTTGGATTTGCTTTGAGGCAGCCTAGACCTTAACAGGGGTCTGGGATGTGCTATGCAAGCGCTAGAGAGACTGAGGAGCTACATCTTGGGGAGCTGTCTTGGAGCCAGTGTTTTGAAGCCCAGGACTGTGTAGTCAAAAGCAAGGCGGTTGCCCTTTGCTTTGCCCAGGCGCGGCTCCTGGGGGCTGCGAGCCTTCTGCGGCTCTTTGGTTTCAAGGACACAGTGAGCTGTTCAGGACTTTGGGAGCCAACATCTGTCTGACTGGTGACGTCAGCAGCCCGTGTAATCCTCTTGTGCTGAAGGCAGATGCCTTATTTGTTTGGCTGGAGCGAGCCATTAATCCCTAATTCTGGATCAGCAAGCGAGGGGGAAAGACCGGACCGCTACGATCCACCCCTCCCTGCCCCCACCGCCCACCCTAAAGCACCTTATACCGTGGAAGCCGCTCAGCCTCCTCTTTCCTCCGAGAACACACCGAGCAGCTCCTGAAAACGCTTTGGTCCTCTGCAGGTTTGAGCAGAGCTTGCAGCTCTTTCTCCTTCGGATTTCTAGGGCAATGTGTATATGTAATTCTTTATTTCACCGATCCTTTCGATTTTCTTGCTGGTACTCTCCAGTCTTGCAGTTTGCAGGATCTTAAACCAAGAAGGGGTGGAGATTGGAGTTGCGGTTCTGGCGTGTGGTCTGAGGGAGGGGTTAGATCGGTAACGGCGCGCAGGATGCGCGAATCACTGGGACTGCACAGAGGACAATCTGAGGACTCGCTTTCACGACTCCATCTCCGGAAACCACATCTTTGGTCCTGTCGGCATCCTCTCAGCTTCCGAAGCCGGGGCTAAGTTCTCAGCTCCCTTGTCTCCCGGCCCATTGAGGGGAGCCCCCAGCTCAACTCATAGGTCCGGTCAGCGGGTCATCTCGGTTCCATTGAGTGCTTCCTCCTGCCTCCCGTCCCTCCTCTCGAGTTTCTCCTTCCTCCCTCCGCCTCCTGCTCTAATTCTGCGCTTTGATTCTGTTTTTCAGGGGAGCGTTCTGGGGTCTCTGCACAAAACCTGCTTTTGAGCTCTTTGGCTTCCTCCGAGCTGGAGCCCGTCCTTCCCCCTGGCCCACTCTGCCGCGCAAGGGATGCTGTGAAAAGATCCGCTGCCCACCGCCTGCGGCCCGCTGTCCAGAGGGCTCCGCCCATAGAGGTCAACACCCCTCACTCTTCCTTTTTCCAGCTCGCTCTCCCTCCGCCGAGCCCAGACTCGGTCCTCGTCCAGACTTTTGCCATAGAGTGCATATCTGCTGCACTGCCCTTAACCTACGCCCGGAGCGGGCTCAGACCCGATCTCTGTTCTCCAGAGCCTGAGGATGCCCGAACAAGCAGCCTTTTCTCCCTGCAGTAAAACCATAGCCAGACCAGATGCGCCCCAGCTCTCCCGGGACTTGGCAGGTGCTGTTGAGTTAATTTTTCCGCCATACAAAGAAGGATAACCTAGCCCGCCCTGGGATTCTGATCTTTTCCCAAAATTTCCCAACCAAAATCGGGGTATCAGAGGCATATCAGTGTGCTTGTCGGACCTACAAACACGCATGCTTATATTCGCTTTTATCTGCTAGATTTCTTCTCCAGCAGCAGGAGATGACTGACAAAGGTTTCTTCAGCAGAACACTCATGGCATGGTCCTTAAAGACTTGCCTTTCCTTGCAAATGTCTTAGGAAGGGATTCGGGGCAAACCGACTCAGATAATTGCCTTCGGTAAAATAACACGATTATGAAATTAGATCTGTACCAGAGGGGTAATTAACTTCGATCCATGCCATCATTTAAAAACTAGATTTATAGACGTATGTATATGGATTTTAGGTACGTTGTAAATGGCATGCAGATGTATGCGTAAGTATACGCAGGCTCATGCTCTTCCACAGGGCAGACTAATTAATGGCAACTCTAGCAGATGTGGCAGGAGGAGGGCTGAGCTGGAGCACAGCTTCTGAGATACGACCCTGGGGGTAGGGACTCCAAGCCGGGAACTCCAGGGGAAGCTGAAGGGCAGAGAGGAGAGTGTGATAGTCGCAGTGAGTCAGTTGCTTCTGGATCAAGATCAGAGACTCTGCCCTCCGTGTTCACAGCGGACCTTGATTTAATGTCATACAATTAAGGCACGCGGTGAATGCCAAGAGCGGAGCCTACGACTGCACTTGAAGGACATCAGAGACTCAGGGTCAGAAAGGGTGGGGAGAAACAATTGCAGGCATCATGAAGAGAGCTAGAATGAACCCATCCTGTGCGGCATAAGGACCCCTTGCATTGATGCAGAATCTTTAGAATGCGAGAGTCATATGTTTTCCAGTGAGAATCCGGGAAACCCGCATGTCTATCCTCAAGGGAAATATTAGAGGTTTCATTGACAGCTGTCAGGAGAGGAGTAACTCCCTTTGGTGCCAATGGTCTAGAAAGTCTGCATTCAGAAAGCGCTGGCCTTTTCAAAACAGATTGAGATTGTCCTCAATCCTGGACCGAATTGGGGAAACATAATGGGTGAGGGGGGTGTAGCGCGCAGACCTCATTGCACAAGAAACCTCAATTGACTCAATCATCTGTGGAAATAGGAACATCAGGTACTCCATAGCCCTTGTCTTTTCGCATCTTTACCCAGTCTCCTGGCGGCCTTATCTAGCTTTAAAAGACTAAGGCAAAGTCGCAATACCCAAATCAGTCAAAGTTGTCGAATAACCGGAAAGACTAAGCCAGGAACTCTGAGACTTGGCAAATTAATTTATTTGGAAAACCATAACGTAGACTTAGTTAAGGTAGGTCTACTCCACAACCTTGAAGCCTAAGAAAACCAGGGCTGAGAAAGAGCCTTGACGGAAGTCTTTGTTCTGCAGTGGCCTGCCTGGCCAGGGAACAAAGGCAAAGCTGGGGAAGGATGCACCAAAGTGGCCGCGCCCTCCGCGCCTTGCGCTGTCCGTGGTGCTGACCGAATACTCTTCCTTCTTTTCCTCCTCTTTCTCTTCTTCCTCCTCCATCCATAATCCCGCCAGCAAGGCAATACAATCGCTTCTTCCCTACCATAAAACATCTAGGATATTAGGTAATTTACAAATAAAAAATTGAAATATGGAAAGACTGTAAACAACTAAATTGTATTTTACTGAAACCTTACACTCTGTTATGACAATCAATTGGTTTGGGGTGAAACCGGAATCTGAGTAGTGTACAAAACCTGCAAGAAAGACATGAAATAGAAAGAAATTTTGTTTTTATTTTTTTCTTAAATCACAACACTAAAAACAGAGACACAAGGTCCGCAGTTGAGGATCTTAGCGTAGATGTGGTCACCAAAGGTACCTCTCAAATGACCCCCAGAGTGTGCCTCAAGACGTATTAACGAGGTTAAGACTGAATTGATTAGGTGACCAGGGCAGGCAGGAGTGAAGCAACCAGCAACCACTGTCTAGGCTCTCGGCAGGTCTCTGGGCAGTGTAGCTTTCCAAAGTGAGTTCTGAGACTAAGACCCACAGAGTGATGGGACTCTGATGTGCAGGAGCTGGCTGGCACCGAGTACCACCTCTCAAGGAGGCACTGAAGGCCCAGAGGCCTGAATTCCGCACTGCGGAGAAAATCAGATTGCAGAACTGGAGAGTTCTCATAGCTACCCCGAGCCAGACCTTCAGAGACACGGCAGATTACCAAATCCCACAAAATTAAGATTTGCCTTAGGACTCGTGTGTCAGATGTGTGTGAATTAATGCACTCTATATATTTAAAATGCTCAACATATTTCAGCATTCTAACTTAAACATCAAGAATATGTATATAAGCAATAAAATATTAATTTCTACAGTTAGTCATATTTGCAGTGAAATAAGAAATAGGTGATAAATATATTTGTACCCAGACTAGGCCCAGTAAAGAAAATGTTTGAGTTTGTTTAAAGATTCACATCATAAATGCTGTCAAACATTGGTCACAGATAAACTGAATCAGGTTTTAAAAGAGAGACAGTGGCAGTGATTTTCATGAAGGCGTAGAAATGGACTATGTATGTACAATGGTCTAAAAGATAAGTTTTTATAACATTTATGTTCTTAAACCTGAATGACAGAAATGTATCTACTGTCTCAGGAAATAAAAGAGGTCAGAAACAATATTCTTGGTCGTCTGATTCCTCCCTACTCCATCCTGAAAGATGGACTTTGTCTTCTGATTTTAAAAGTCTGTAAATTAGCAGTTTTATATGCAGAAATTTTAGGTTTGTCTTTGATTTCACACAATACGAAGGGACCAAGTTTGCAGACTGTGTCGGGGGAAAGAGCTATCTCAAACACAGAAACGATGGCTTTAAGATGCTCCTCTGGTGTCGATGAAAAAACAGTCACCAGAAATGGAAATGGGTTTAAAGTTTTGCAGGTTGTCCCAAGGCTCCCATTTCCTGCCCGTCTTCATCCAGCTGTATTGATGACCCCTACCCACAGTCCCTTGAGTTCTTCACAAAGCAAAAAGGGGTCTAAAGCTTCAAGACAGTCCTGTTTGCATTACTGTGGTTCATATTATACAATAAGGACACATTAATACTCTCCCATCTAATCCTATCTGTTTACAATCGTCCTAAACTCTGATTTCAGAAAGATTAATCGGTTAAAAATATATTTTCTAAATAGAAAGAGAATGCCATACGAGAGAATTACAAATGTAAGGATACAAATACATGATTAAGACACCTAGTTACCAAGATTAAGTACAGTGTGGTTATTAATTCACAGTGTTTGTATACTTTTAAAACTATTTATTTTCATTTTTTTAAAAAAATAATCATCCAGCTTAATGTCCATTACAAAATTTTCCTGCTGTGAAATTCTGTGCTCAGCAGTTTTCCGGCAAAACAACCCAGGTGGACAATCAGAGAGCTCTGGAGCAGAGGACCATGGGAGTCCTTCGGCAATCGCAACTTTCATCTAGTGCTCTCAAATTAGAGCTTCTTGGAATAATTTAGGAACAGCTTGACCCATTGAGATGCTCAGGGACAACCCTCTTGGGAAACAGCTTCTTCCTTCCAGGGAACAAGATGCTAGCGCAGGAAACCAAGAGGTATCTGGTGTCAGCAAGGCCAGAGCTCCCTCTGCTGGCCCGCCAGAAACGGCACGCTAGTTACAGAAGCCAGATGGTGTGGGTTTGGATAAATCCTGGAAACATTAAGCTCTTAGGATCATCTAATCTGTGGAATTTAAAAGCTCCCATCAAATTTTCCGCCTGAAAGGCTCCCCGATTTTTGTTTTGAGAGATCCTGGGATGGCTATCTTATATTCTATAGGAAGCGAGAAGTCATTGTTTGAAGCCGACTGTCGATTCTGTTGGTTGTTTTCTGTATCTTTTTGCGGTTTTATAGGAAAATATGAAATTGTACACTTCAGTGAAAAATTGTCCTCCTAGGCAGCTTAATATCAAATAATTTTTATATTTTTGCCAACAACTGAAATTTAATAAATAGAAACATTTTAATTAGAATAAACATACTTAATTTTAAAGGATGTTAAAACGAAAATAAGACCTTACATAAGGAGCGATTGTGTTGATTTGTATTAATTCTAACTCCAATTTCCAATGACTACACTTTTGAAAACGAAACTGAGCTGTGCTTGAGGAAGCAGCTGAGGTTTTTGAGTCATATTAGTTAATATATCTAAAAGTTGACCTCTGAAATCTTTCTACTGAGTTAATATGGGTACGCAGGTGGCAGAGATCCCAGAAAGTAGACGACTGGGAGTAAAGTCATCAGGAATGCAGAAATGGAAGCAGCGTGTGCAAACATCTAAATGTTATTTGTACTTTTCTGTATGGGACAATCTATTATAAAATGAAATAGAGGCTTCTTGAAAAGATAAAACTTATTTTTGATTTCGCATTTTATTGGGCTTATACTGAGTAAAATAATGTATAACTATATTATTTCATCACTGCAAATTTGGAGTTCTAACCTATTGTGCAATAGACACATATTTGCTGTGCAAACTGTTACTACATCAGTGCTGGTGTAATAAAATCCTTCTAACTACATGGTTGTTAATACATCTTCTAAAATAAAGTTCAGTTTATTTTATGATGTCAGAATGGAATAGCTGTTTAATATCTCTTATTTTAATATTAGATTTTAAATGAATGCTCATAAGAATATAAAGTTAAAATAAAAAAAAACCTATTTGATGTTACAATTTGTTTTGGGGGGAACAGCTCTTGATTAAATGTTAAACCAGCTTAAATATTTAATCAAGTATGTCAAATTTTATATAGCGTATGTCTGTCTTCCGGAAGCTGGTTCTCTGAAGCAAGCATTACCAATTCATAGGACAGTAAATGAAGAAAAGAAAACTGTTATAATTCCTATAATTTTGTTCTAAGAATTCCTTTGGAAATGTGAAATATTTTATTTTACATAATTAAAATTTCTTCCTCAGTAAATTCAAAAATATTTTACCCAGTAAATAATAAACATATCACAATAGTTATTTCAATATTCTTCACAATTATTAAACTTGCAAACAAGTTCTAATAAAAGAAAATGTGTAATACACATAAGGACATTTTTTCCTCTTTTAAAAACCATTTACTTGAAAGAAAGAAGAAAATAAGAAAGAAAA